CTGTCTGAATGTGTAGCAAAAAGGTTTCCATACTTCATCTCAATTTCATGATGTGGTTCCTGTATGTCAGTAGAACACAGGCTATTTTGATGTCCCATGGTTTATCCAGGTGGAGCTCTATCTGCCAAGCCACCTGCTCTGCATCAAAACTCTCTTTAGGAAAGCAATGTGAATGCAAAGGATCAGCTCCAGTCACTTGTGCCTATGTCACGTTTACACAGACTTCCTTCTGAATTGTGCAAATTCTAAATCTAAGTCTTCAAACAAATATGCTAAGTAAGAAAAATGTTATTTTTACTTCATCTGGTTCTGTCTGCAAAGGAGGAGCAAGAGGATATAGGAGAAAGGCAATTGTTTATAATAACTTTTGAAAAATAAATTATTTTCATGAAATTTTGCCAAAACCAGTTAGAAATTTGCTCAGCATTTCACTAAAGCTGATAAATTTCCAGTAAAGATTACTCTTATGAATTGTTTAATGGCAGAACCTCTTCATTTTTCTTACTTTCAGGAAAGTAAAACAACTATGAAATAGTTACAACTGAAGAATAATTAGAAGACAGAAACTAACTAGCTGTCTTAAAGAAATCCTTAAATGGTCTTTCAGTGCTCTTTTTCTTGTTGAGCCTGTCCTTCTTAATGACATTTTCTTCAGACAACATAGGCCTTACTGATTCACTTCTAAAATGAAGAATAGTGTCAGACCTTTAAAGATCTGGAGACACCATCCTGTTGTCTTAGAAGTCATTCTTACTCCTGATGCCTTCAGTCTCCTAAGTAGCATCCCTGAAAACCTCCAGTTCCACCAGCTCATTTGAGATAAGCTGTGGTTATGAGGAACATTTTGGAAAACAAGCAAATGCTTTAAAGCTTTTACTAAACTACTTTTTTTTTTCTCTGAATCATGACACACATCTAAAATTCATTAGGAGAAGTACTTGTAGCTAGGCTCCTCTTGTGTATCCAAACACACAATACATTTCAGGGGAAGAAGAGAAGTAAAAAAACCACTCTATGTACCATCATCGTCTGGAGGTTCTCCTTCAAACTAATTCTGCCAGAGAAGAATATATATCAACTCTGTCCACACTGGTGCATACTATTTCAGTGGGTTTTATCTGAGATAAATAAATGAAGATAAGCACAGTATTACATGCAATTTGTTAAAATAAGGGTTAGTAATGTAGTGCTTGGGTCTTTAAATATTGTTATACAGTGAAAGAAAAGAGGATTACACTGTCCATTCACAGGTGGAACACTGCACTGAATAACTACCTTTCCTTACTCAAGTCATCAGTATCCTTATTTAACTTCTTCCACCTTGACCTAGAAAATACATCAGTCATTTGCTATTTTTGTAATGAAATGCTGATCTATGCAAGCCTGTGCTGGCAGCTCTATACAGTACTTTCACTGCAACACTCTGCTGGCTGCCAATCTCAGAAAACCTCTTGGTGTTGTTGAACAATAGGAGATCACTGACCTTTCCTTCCTCTCCCATGAATCAACTATTTAAAAGCTAAAGCTACTGTAGATATAACACAAACTAAGGAACTGATGACAGGTGTCATCAGTAGAGTGTTATGCTACTGTGATTAGAAGTATATGCCTATTTATGTGGCACAAGCATCTCAAAGCAGACAATAGAAATGATTGTACAGGTTTGTAAACTTCATCTAAGACAAAAACTTGGTATTTCTATCAAGATTTGCATTTCTGATGTGGGAACTTCACTCTCTGCAAATCTCATAGTTTCCCACAAAAACCTTGGTGCAACACAAAGTTGCTTCTTTATATATTTTAAAAGATTTTTCAGTAAGTGCAGGAGGAAATCTATACAGTATCTTCCATTTTAGGAATTGGGATGATTCAGCATTCATATTAACAATTTATTTTTTTTTAATTCCTACTTGTATCAATCTCATTTATTTCTTCTGGCTTCAAATTTCTTTTTTTCTTCTTTTTTGATGTCAATAACCCCATGGAAAAACCTAAAAATCTTCAGTAATCATGTCTATATAGCTCTGTGGAGCTTTCGGTAAAGAAAAACAATAGGAAAAAATCCATTGGTTTAGCTGCACAAGCACCGGTATCAAAACGTGAAAATTCACTAATCACTTAAAAGAATGTGCTAATTTCAATTACCTCTTCAGATTCCTCCAATAAATAGCTTTTAAGCACATGCCTGAACTGAATCAGAAAAAGATGTTTCTGAAGTGCAATTATTTATTTTCATTTCAAGCTTTCTGCTTTGGAAGTCCAAAAAAAATATATTAAAGCTCTATGAGTATTTTCTGTTCAGAAACTGATTACACAAGAGCTAGATTATTAATGGGATCATATAGCTGCACAGAGAGACAAAGGAATGAAGCATCCTCTCTCAAACATCTCTGGAAAGGACATAGCATCTGGTTTACTCGCACAAATGGGCAACAGTCTCTCCCTGCAACTGAGGTATAGCTAGTGATGAGCATCTCTGCTGGCCAGGCAGACCCAGCACAGCAGGAGAGCTTTGATGTGAAGCAGTTAAAGATTTTGCAACCCCCACCCCAAAACTGAAGAAGATGTTAGAAGAAACTGTGACTCTTTGTCCCAACTTGTGTCAAAGGTCAGTCTATCCTGTGCATCCATTTAAATTATTGATAAAGCCACATAACAGAATATCAGAACAATTCACAGTCTGTAACACACATTTCAGAGGTATTTAGGGTTTTTAATCAGTGGCCCCAGAGATGCACACAACTGCTGTTGGTTTTCATTGTGAGCTAGGTGTCAAATCTGTGGGGTTCTTTTCCTGTTTCCTTCACTAGTTGGTTATAAATTAGCATGAAGACCCCAGTGTTGTAACAGGGTTCATCCACATAGATACAGCTGAGATACATGAACCAACCTGACAAACTGAATACTGAATATCTTGGGTTTTATCAATTTAAGTAAAACCCATTTAAAATTTTAATTTCTTTTTGCTTGTGTCATAATTTCTGTTAAAATTAATCAAAGGAGTGTTAAGAGCAAATATAGTGTTTTGTCCAGAAAGACTGCAGTGATCCTCCCAACTGAAATGTTTTTATTCCCTGGAACAAACAAACAATTCTCTTAATAGTAAATCAATCAGCATCAGAAAGAGCCATTCCAGTGCCTTGCATTGATACAGTTAACAAGTATTTGCTTGCATAGGTTGATTTTTATATGAATAATAACAACTGTGTTTGTGATCATGAATTCTATGAAAAGAAAGACCAATTTTTGTCTCAGCAAGACCAAATAGGATTGAGCAGCACCTTAAAGGTCTCATTGTGTAAGCCTCACTGGATTTGCTTTCATCATATTATTTAAAAGAGAAGGGATTGCCCAAAGCAAGGGTAATCAAGACCTAAATAGCGACTGCTTAAGCAAAATGACAGATGAACAAGCCACTGTAAAAAAGAGAACACAGCACTCAGGAAAAGTCCATTTAAAATAGGAAAGCAGAGAAAATACCTTCAAATGCTTTCTTTTTTACAATGCTATAATTACTAGAGAGATTTCTTGGCTGAAATATGAGTGTCTGTTAACCTGAAGTTTGAGATAGTGTGGAAAGAGAATCAAAACTTAGTATTAGGAGAATAGATTCCATTCTCTGAGCTGGATTGATCTTGTTCTCACCTTTTCTGCAAAATAGGGAAAAACTACTGTATGGTTAGAGGCACAGCATATTAGATAAATAGCTTGAACCTCTTTCCCAAACATGCATATGATGGAAATTTTTCCAAGAATAATATAGAAACTACATAATGATATATATGTGCTTGAAGTGATAGCAATGATATTTTTTAAAAGTGGAATGTAAGGTAAGTTGAGACAAGGAGATAAACAGAGTTACCATAACGTAAAAGGTGATTGTTTTGCACCAGAGGAGGGGAGAAGGCAAGGGGGGAAATGAGAGAGAGAGTGAGATGGTCCAGGGTTCTTTATTCCGGTAAGAAAGAACCAACAACAAATGGCTTAATAAAATAGCTGTTTTAATATGATAGAATAAAAAGAGGAATATAGATGGTAAATCTTACAAGATGGGAACCCCATGTTTTTACAGTGTTGGACAGGCCCTGGATGGATTTTCCCACTGCATGCTGTGCAGAACGCATCCATTTGGGTCATCCAAGCTATTATATGATTTTCTTACCAGAAAACAATTCTACTCATCATTTCTACTGTCAAACAAAAAGGAAGTTCACACAATAACTCCTTGCTGCACTTTTAGATAAAGATGAAGCCCACATACCAGTGCCAGGTGGGATCATGGTACAGCATGGCATGGGTTTGGGCCTGCTCAGGTTAACTGTACTGTGGATCACTAATTCATGTACAGTGGTCTCCCAGACAGGATCACTACAGTGTTGCAGGAAAAATGAAGTCTTATTCTGCTGAAACTATACTTTTCACAGAATACACTAATGGAAAGAACCAATTTAATTAATGGGAGATTTTGATAACATTTTTAGAGGGAAAGGACCAGCTCCTACTTTGTTATAATAAATGTTCCATAAAGAATAAAAAAAAAAGTGTTTATCTAACCATAAGTCTTCTGAATCATTGTTGTGGCAGACCACTAAGCAATTATCTATTTTCAGTGAAGAAATAACAGTAATTTCTGAAGCATTCTTGTTTTAAAAAAAAAAAAAAAAACAAAACCAGATTATACTTATTTCAGGTGACAGAATAAAACTGTAATCTTGGAAAAAAGTGCTTTGATTATTTATCCTACATAAAAGAAAAAAAGGTTATTAATTATCTCTAAATTTGTTTTCCAAATATATCCTTATGATAAGGATGATAAGGATGAATGCTAACATTCTTTCACATTTGACTTCTTTGTCACTGCTTTTAAGAACACCTGAAGCAAAAAAATTTCCAAACAAGAATGCTGTCAAGTCACTTGCCAAATAATCAAAAAAAGCAAATTTTAGATTAAAAATTTTGAGGGTTTGTATGAGAAAATGGGTTTATAATATGATTCCTACCGTAGAAAGTGAAATGACACGTGACCTCTGCATCCCATGAAAACCTGAAATTAAAAATAAGAATATTGAGAATCAGAGCAAAACTCACATGTAGCTTTATACTGAAATACAGAAAAACAAAATACATTCAGAAGAACATTAGGGTATATTGATTGGATGATGCAAAATGCAAAGAGAAAAGGATTACGTCTGATAAGCTCAGAGAAGAGGAGAGAAGACAAGAAGAGACAAGATGAGAGAAAATGATAGAAGAGGAGGTCAGAAAAAAGAAGGTGAGACAGGAGATGGGAAGTTTCTGTGGGACAGTGGGAGGAGAAAGCAGGACAGGGTATGGCAGGTTCACTCAAAAATTATGCTCTTATGTAATGCCATAGTTCTTAGTGATGAATAAAAGCACCAAAAATATATTTGGTTTTTATGTTAGGAAGAACTATACATTCTAACATGCATTAGTCTCCTTTTTCCATTGCCCATATTTTTAGTCAGTACAAAGCAAACCTAAAAAATAAGAAATTCATTTACTCTAGCCATCAGGAGCTGTACATTTATATTCTGGTATATGTATTACAGCTAGTTCTAGACTTTGATCTAGTGCATGTACCCTCATTCAGATGGAGGACTACTGTTGTTTGAAAGCTTTCCACCTCACAGTGGATATAGAAATGTAAAATATTAATATATTGATTCTGCTGCACTCAATGCCAGCCAATTCAAATCTCAGCATGACGGGTCAGGATATTGTATAAAACAAAGGCAACGTCTCATCAGCTTCAGTTGCATATCTGAGATCCACAATCAAAATGACAATGCATGTCATCTTCAACAAAGATACTCCTATCCTAAGATGTTTAGAAGGATATGAATCTGTATTAGACAAATACACATAGAAAAATTAATGAATTTAGGTCAAAACATGTTACTGATATGATCCCAGTACTGAACTACCATCTGAAGTTTAAACATCATGCTAGTGGTGCCAAATACACCTATTACAATGCAGAGAGCCTGCTGATAAATCATCGCAGACAAAGACGGTAGGTAGCAATAGACATCACCATAGACCAAAAGAATTTTAAAGGGAAAAAAAGAATACACCTCTCCAAAATAATTAATGCAACAAGTGGTTTGTTGGGCTTTTTAAATTTTCCTTGTAAGTTACACTTACTGAAACCTCTAAAACAGTGAATAGAAACATTCTCCAATGTAGCCACCTGCCCCCATTTCATATGGAATTACTCATGTCAGAATATGACCATGTCATCTCATAACTACACAAAACAAGGCTATAGGCCTTGTTATAATTTACACTACAGGAGTGTACAGTGCTGTAGTAGTATTGAAGGCTTGGAAAATGGATGAAGAGTAGCCCTGAAAGTACTCTTTGGAAGCTTTGTTCAGTCTCTTGTATAGGTGTTGGAACTGAACACTGTCTAGCAGCTACCATATTACAAAATGACAGAATCATAGAATGGTTTGGGTTGGAAGGGACCTTAAAAATGATCTAGTTCCAACCCTCCTGTCACGGGCAAAGACACCTTCCACTAGACCAGGTTGCTCCAAGCCCCGTCCAACCTGGCCTTGAACCCTTCCAGGGAGGGGGCAGCCACAGCTTCTCTGGGCAATTTGTGCCAGTGCCCCACCACCCTCACAAGAAAGTATTTCTTCCTTTAATCTGAATCTAATTTTTTTCAGTTTAAAGCCATCACCCCTTGTCCTATCACTACAAGTCCTTGTAAAAAGTCCCTCTCCAGCCTTCCTGTAGCCCCCTTTAAGTCCTAGAAGGCTGCTATAAGGTCTCCCTGGAGTGTTCTCTTCTCCAGGCTGAACAACCCCAACTCTCTCAGCCTGTCCTCATAGGGGTGGTGTTCCAGCCCCCTGAGCATCTTTGTGGCCTCCTCTGGACTTGCTCAAGCAGGTCCATGTCCTTCTGATATTGGGGGCCCTGGAGACGAACACAGGACTGCAGGGGGGGCGTCACAACAGCAGAGTAGAGGGGGATAATAACTTCCTTAAACCTGCTGACCACACTTCTCTTGATGCATCCCAGGACACAGGTGGCCTTCTGGGCTGCAAGCGCACAATGCCAGGTCATGTTGAGCTTCTCATCAACCAACACCCCCAAGTCCTTCTCCGCAGGGCTATTCTCAACCCACTCATCACTCAGCATGTATTTGAGCTTGGGATTTTCCTGACCCATGGGCAGGACCTTGCACTTGGCCTTGCTAAACTTCATGAGGTTTGCATGGGCCCACATCTCCAGCCTGTCCAGGTCCTTCTGGATCCCTTCCCTCCAGCGTGTCACTGCACCACACAGCTTGGTGCCATCACTGAACTTGCTGCAGGTGCACTCGATCCCACTGTCCATGTCACCAACAAAGATGTTAAACAGCGCCAATCCCAACACTGACCCCTGAGGAATGCCACTTGTCACTGCTCTCCACTTGGACATCGAGCTGTTGACCACACCTCTTTGAGTGTGACCACCCAGGCAATTCCTTATCCACTGAGTGATCCGTCCATCAAACCCACATCTCTCCAATTTAGAGACAAGGATGTCATGTGGGACAGAGTCAAAAGCTTTGCACAAGTCCCGATGGGTGACGTCAGTTGCTCTCCCCTTACCCACCAATGCTGTAACCCCATTGTAGAAGGCCACCAAATTCATCAGGCACAATTTGCCCATAGTGAAGTCATGTTGGCTGTCACCAATCACCTCCTTGTTTTCCATGTGCCCTAGCACAGTTTCCAGGAGGATTCACTCCATGATCTTGCCAGGCACAGAGGTGAGACTGACTGGCCTGTAGTTCCCTGGGTCCTCTTCATTTCCCTTTTTAAAGATGGGGGTTATGGTTCTCCTTTTCCAGTCAGCAGGAACTTTGCCGGACTGCCACAACTTGTCAAATATGATGGACAGTGCCTTAACCACTTCCTCCACCAGTTCCCTCAGGACCTGCGGATACATCTCATCAGGTCCCATGGACTTGTGCACCTTCAGGTTCCTTAGATGGTCTTGAACCTGGTCTTCTGCTACAGTGACAGTTCTACATTCTCCCATTCCCTGTGTTTGCCTTCTGCATGTTGGATGTAAATTACAACTAGATAGAAAAGATAAAAGTCTGTGTGGTATTTCATGTTCTTCACTGGTCAGCATGTATTCTAGGCTTTATATTCTATCAAACACTCATTCTGGAGTCTCAGTGAAAAAAAGGTTTGTGTCCCTGTACCCCTATGTTTTTGTTTCTAGCACAATGTCATGTGAGGCATGTGTACTAAATCTACAGATATAGGTGACTAAAATAACTTCTGTCTTAAGCAAGTCAGAATTCCTTAATCCTCCCTTACACTCCCAAGAGTAGACTTTATATTGAGATTAAAGATCTCTGAGAATATTAGTTAATATAATGCCAGTAATTTATTTTTCTGTAGTATAAATCTGATATCAATACTATATGTCTGATATGGATAGCTTAGTAAGGCATTTTTTGTTTAATGTGAAGTTGTATAAAAGGTGAAGCAACATCCTCACAAAGATGGACTGATTATTGTTCCACCATTGCTTATATTAACTATGTTGCTATCTATCAAAACAAATTTCAGCCATGTTAAAGGCAAAAATAATTTCTGAAACATTGTCTGAGCTGCCTTCTTTAGAAATAGCCCACAATCTACCCCATGCACTGTAAAAGCTATAATGTAGTCCAAGCAAGATGCTCAGAGGTTTTGCACTGCCATTTTGGAGGGGGAGCAGAGGAGAAGGGCCACAGAGAATGGACTTTGAAGACAAAAATGTTGTAGGCAATTAGCTAAAATGTTACAACTGGTGCATTCTAATCTTGATGGGCTCATTAAGCATTAAAACTCCTTGACATTTTCCTGTTGTAGTGATAAATAGGAATGAACAGTTTGCATTTTATACTTTCCTAAATTGTATGTCTTTTTGGCTTCTTCATCCGTCATGTTTTACATGTTTATTTTTGCATCCATTTTATTAAAAATATACCATTAAAGATTCTTTGTTCTTCCTCTAATTATCTTCCTTTGAAAAACTCTTAATTTTGTATCAATGATATTGTTTGGTTTTAAAGTTTAATAGTTAATGTTCATTGTTAAATTGCCAAAAGGATATACACTAATTTAGCATGTCACTGCTGCTTGGTGAAAATGCCATCTTTAGTGATCCATGAGTTGCAGAGAAAAATAGAAAAGAAAGAAGGCCAACAGTCTTATAACACCCCAATTTAATTTAAGATGTCCATTTATATTAAAGGGGTTTTGAAGGAAACCCTTCAAAGCCTTCTTTCCTTGGATAGTTAAATACATTTAAGTATTATCTTTAAATGGAATTACAACTGCATTGATTTAATAATCAGGAAAGAACAAAAAGCAGATTGTGAACGAGATATTGTTCGCCTTTTTATATTAATGAAATTAATCTCAGGACTACCTGCTATTCTGCTATTCTTTTTTTTTTTTAAAAAAACTTCTTCCCCCTTTTTGTACTTTTCCAAGTTCTAAAAATAACCCGCCTGAGTGGATATTAGTGGCGTGAACTGGAGAAAAAGACATAAAGTTTTATTGTCTTTCCTTTTAATTTTCATTTGCTATTCATAATCAATGGGCTCAGAAATTCACTTTTGATTTTTCAGTTGTGTTCTCTCTCTCTGTTAAAAGGAAAGCTTCTGGTGAGTCCTTATTTTCTCTAGATCATTACACATCAGTAGCAGGCTAATAATCCCTAACTTCTGTATTGGGTGTGAATGACAAGGTTCTAGTAGCAGAGGTGGCTACAAGGGTAGCATCTGTGGAAAGTTCAGGGGCTGCCCTCTGCCAGACACAGCTGTTTCCAGCCAGCTTGGCAACAGACCCACCGCTTGCCAAAGCCAAGCCATTTGGAGGACTTTGTCGTGCCTCTGGGAAAACCTATTTGAGAAAGGACAGAAGAGTGCATGGAAGGAGGGAACAACGGGAACAAGATCAGATGAGCGGATTCTCGATGGTGGAGCATGCACATCCCCAGAGGGACTGTGGTGCATGGATGAGTCCA